AATAAAATAGTTCTTTTTATTTAGATAACATAAATTCAGGGTTGTTTGTTTGTTTTTTTTGGAGGTGGGTAGCATTGGAAAGTAACCACTAATTCTGCTCTATTTCCCTCCTCTTGTCAGTTTCTCCTTTGCTGTCCAATATCTATCGCTCACTTTTTGAGGCCTCGATGCCTCTCACCTTCTTCTTTTCTGGTTTCCTGGCTTGGCACACATTAGCCTGTTTTTCAGTGGCAAATGCCATTGTAAATCAATTCCCATTATTTGATGGTGAGGTATAATGGAGATCTCTAGATGTAAGATTCTGAGATTAACAAGTTGGTCTTTCTACTATATTATTTCATAATCTTGATTCATTCAATTAATCTGATGACAGCTCTATCTGGTGTAAAGAACACTAGATGAGGAGATAAAATACTTGGCTCTGAATTCCAGTCCCCATTCTGCTATGAATTGCAATGAATCTTTGGGCAAATAATATTATCTCTATAGATCTTAATTTCTTCATCTGTAAAATGGGAGAGATTTGGTCAGTTGTAGAAGGACTAAATAAATTATAACACATGAATGTAAAGGAATATTACTTTGTAAGAAAGGATGTAATAAAGGATGAATGTGATGATTCCATAGAAGAATGGGAAGACTTTTATAGACTGATAAAAAGTGAAGTCAACAGATCCAGGAAAACGACATTAACAATAATTACAACCAGGGTTGTGCTAATAAATGTTTAACAACCAGCTCTTTGCTTTAAAAAAAATGCATATACACCTTTATATTTAGTCTGCATTATTAACATGCTTTCCATCACTTTCCTGAGTCTAGAGACATCTCCATACCAAATGTTCATATAGAATATTTGTGCTTGTTCTGTGAAAGCCTTCTTAGCTTGTACTGATCAGATCAGCCACAGTCATACATACTGTACTTTGACCCTGACATAGTGATATCATTTTAGTCCTCTTTGAGAAGGAAGGACAACAACAAAACCCTGTTTTTCATCACTTTATTAAGTTTAGATAATTAGCAAAAGGCAAATCAAACCCTGGTTTGTAGCATTTGCCCAGCTATAAATGCTCACAATGAAAATTTCATTTGGCTCTTGTTAACTGGTTTGGGTTAGCTTCAGTGTACTACTGACTATAAGAATGTAAATGGAAAGAACAAAAATAAACAATTAAAAAGGATAGCTAAGTGGTCCAGTGGATAGAGCTCCAGGCCTGGAACCTGGAGGACATCATCCTGAATTCAAATTTGGCCTCAGACAATTACTAGTTGTGTGACCCTGAGCAAATCATTTAACCCCATTTGCCTCAGTATTCTCATCTATAAAATGAGTTGGAGATGGAAATAGCAAACAACTGCAGTATCTTTGCCAAGAAAACTCCAAATGGGATCACAAAGAGTCAAATACTATTGAATAATGACTAAACAACTACTAAAAAAATTGAAACTGGATGCTGTGAAATTATAATCATCAAACTTGGCTCCAAAGAGGGTATGAGGTACAGTGGGTATAGAACACTACATATAATATCAGATTCGTTTGTTGATCTTTTTTTTTCTTTCTCGGAGGAACAGAGATCTATGTGGAAATGTACACAATATAAAATCAAAAGATATCAATTTAAAAAGAATTGAAGGGGAAGAAACGAAATCATTTCTAAGATTCTGTCTACCTTTATTATTCTACCTTTATTACACTCGATAGTTATTCTGTTGTTCCCACTACGAGACAGAAGATTCTGTTCACTACTCACTGTATTGGGATATTTAAATTCCAACTTAGTGTAAAATGCAACTTAGATAACATCTGCAAAATGCACCTTTTTTCTTGTAAAGAAGGTAGGTACAATGTATATTCTTTCTCAAAGTCTTATTGTGGGTGATTGAGTAGGGGAATAAAAACCAAGGACTGTCCACATTATCCTGTATAAAAGAGACTTCTGCTTTGTAGGTGATTGCTCGAGGTTATGATTACAGAACATGCTGGGGAGAAGAATACCTTCTCCTGCTTTTGTTGTTGTTTTTACTCATTCTGGGAATAATAGGAGAACCCAGGCCTTTAGAGTTGGCAAAAAAAACCCAAACCACTTCATTTTAAAGTTAGATGGACACTTTGTTACGATTTCTCGCCTATACCACCTATTCCCTTCCTTTTACTTTCCATTCCCACCATATTTCTAAGTCTTGGACCAAGGAGACCAACAAAATAAAAACTCTGGTCATTTCAGATATTGGAAGATCATGGCAAGCTGGCTAATGTTGCACAGACATAAAAAAAATCCACATCTGCTGCAGTTTTGTGTTGCATAATTGATTTAATCTCTAATTTTAGAGGAACGCTGAACTCTTTTTTTTGCTGGACTCTGCATACATTTCTCTAGGGCAAAAACTGTCCTACTTTTTCCTCCCTGGTATCTGTTTAATGCTAGGCCATTTTTTTCCAAGACTGTAAACTACCCTCCGTGAAATAAATGAAATCACAGTTGGAATACAGCTTACTGTACAGACTTATCACCACAAGATAAGGACTATACCACACGCATTTACTTTAACGTCCCCCTCCTCTCTGTTCCCCTTCTTTCTGCTCTAGCAACATCTTCATGTTGGCTGAGAGAACCCGTTAGTTGTTCTGCTGATAGCATAAATGCTATTACCTATACAGAGGGACAGCATGGCTTAGTGGGTTAAGCCACACGCTGGAAATTCATAGGCTGTGAGTTCTAATCCTTGATCTCTTATTCACTTGCTGTGTGACCCTAGGCAGATTCACTTAACATCTCTGTTTCTGCTGTCTCTCCCCTATACCTGCAACATGTGGATTAAAATACTGACCTATTTGACCAAACCATGTCTTTGAGGCTCTCCAAAACCATGCAATGAGAATGAAGTATTTATAAGTAACGCCTAGACGGTTTATTAGTTAACTTAGTAGCAGTTGGTTGGTAATAATTTTGTAATTGTAATTGCTTTACACTCAATAGTTAAACCCATCAAAATGACTACTCATATAGATTAGATAATCCTTAAGATTTCCATTAGACTTGGAAGCCCTGTTATAAGAGGATTCATTTATAACATTCTGTCATAAGAGGCGGCTGTCTGAGAGAAGCAGAGATCTAGTGGAAATTTAGGCAACGTAAAATCAAAAGATATCAATTAAAAAAAACAGATTTGAGGGGGAAAGACTAGAAAATCTCTGTGATGCCTTATACCTTTATTATTCTGTTGTTCTTACTATGAAATAGACTTTGCACTAGGATATTTAAATTACAACTTAGATGTTATGGTAAAAATATACCTTTTTCTTGTAAAGAAGGTGTAATATACATATATAAATCTATAATTGTTCTCAAATTTATCCTTATCTCAATAGTCAAAAATATAGAAAGTTAGCTTTCTTGCTGGACTTTTCTGTATGTATTTTCTTTTTTAGGCAATTGGGGTTAAGTGACTTGCCCAGGGTCACACAGCTAGTAAGTGTCAAGTGTTTGGTCTGAGGCTGGATTTGAACTCAGGCCTTCCTGACTTCAGGATCAGTGCTCTATTCACTGTGCCACCTAGCTGCCCCTCTGTATGTATTTTCAATCCATTGTGTATGCTGACTTTATTTTCCCTTCTCTCCTTACTGCACTCCCTTCTTACTCTCCATTACTTCCTTATAGGGCATATAATTTCAGTGAAACTATGCCTATACCACCAGGTACAAAAGGATAGGGAAATATCTCCAGAGGGAAATAATCCTCCTTGGACTTAGTCTTTCTGCCAGTCTTGGCAAGCATGTGAATTCTTCAGATAAATCTGGTAAAACTTCTCTATTCCTGCCTGTAAAATGGAGGATGACTGTTGTCAATTTCTTTTCTTTCTTTCTTTTTTTAATATTTATTTATTTAGTTTTAGTTTTCAACCTTAACCTTAACAAGATTTTGAGTTTTAAATTTTCTCCCCCTCCTTCCTCTTCCCCCTTTCCAAGATGGCGTGCAATCTGATATAAGCCATACGTGTACAGTCACATTAAACATATTTCCACATTAGTCATGTGCTGTTGTCAATTTCTGCCAGCGAGTTGTGGTGTTGATATTAATGGATTGTGTTTATACCATTTTATATTGTTTTTATACTTGTATTTCCAATGATTAGTGCAATGTCTAGCACATAGTAGGTGCTTTAAAACCCTTGTTGAATGAATGAATCAGTGTTAGGCTTAGAAAAGAACACATTCCTTAAAAGGTACGGTATCTGGCTACTTAGTAGAACCATTGGCTATGTTTCAGCAGTCCAAAAATTTCATCCACTTAATGCAAAAAGTTGTACTTTGAACCTGTATGTATTAAGTTTGTATCTGATCTATATGCCTTCCCCACATTGTAATTTCTGTTTATATGGAGCAAGAGAAGATGTTAAAGATATAACAAGTGGAAACTTCACTCGAGTCCAGTAAATCAGGAGATCTTAGCTGCAGAAACAAAAGTGCTTTTAAAAGTTGAGTACAAAAAGGGAGAACCAGTTAGTTGTACACATAGGTTCTTCTACCCAAAAAGTCTATTGACATGTATACATTATGCATTTGCATGTATACTTACACATACCAAGTATTATAAATTATATACAAATAACACATTCGTACATTATATGTTTATATAGGTTGTGTATGTGTATATATGTACGTATTTATGCACATGTATATATGTATACACATGTTATACATATGTACACATATACACATACCTATATGATCACATAACAACTTGGTTAAAATGTTGCTTAGTAAATATTTTTACGAAGCTCACTTGAATGAGCAAATCTAAATATTTGTGATTAGCTCAGTCATTGTGTGGTTATAGGTTTCTGTATAATATACATGTGTGTATAATTTAGTGCATGTTATCAGTAACTCATCTACATAGTCTAATATATTCACTTGCTTTTGCCTTCTTGAAAGTCTAACATAATCCTTAAACTTCAAATGAAGTTACTGGAAAATTTTTCTTTTTAAACAGGTAATTTTTCTGAGCCCTTACAGAAAGGGCAAACACTTTTGATCCAGCTTCAAGCCTCTGCAGGAGTCTACTGTGATCGTTTGGATGGAATTAATATTGCTCCGGGAACTATTGGTAGGAATATGTGTTTATATCTTTTTAAATTAAGCAAATAACATGTAGAAAGGTACCTGGCATACTCATATAATGTGCTGGCTTTGAAATCAGAATGCCCTGTGTTAATTGCCTCTGACACATACTGGTTGTGAGACCCTGGATAAGTCACTAAACCTCTCAGTGCCCCAGACTAGTCTTTAAGATTATTAATCTGGCACTGATCTTCATTGATAGAGGCAGTTGCTCTGCAATCATCCATTTGGATTAAAATTACATCAATTCAAAATATAAACATGCTGCGTTTACATACTTGTGCGTGTGGGAAGTAGGAAGGAGATGCTGTGAATTTGCTCTTATGTGTGCCTACTAGACAATTTTGGGTAGATTTTTATTAGTTGTGAGATATTTCTAGTTGATCATATCGCGGTAAAATAGTATGGGCAACCAGTACATTTGCTGATGTTATAATGATAGATTCAACTGAAAAAGGTGTCATAGAAAAAAAATACAACCTAAAATGCCTTCTCAGTTACATATATTGTGTCCTACACATATTTCAGTTTTAAATGGAAATTCTAGTTCAGTTTTAAAAGGAATAATGAACTTTTCCCCCCTTGATTGTTGTAAGCTCTGCCACCTTCTTGGTTTGGGTGATTCTATATTGGATAATGAAGATGGTCAGAGAATTGCTTTCTTACTTCTTAGGGTCCCTCCAAGGACTCTTAACACCATTAAACATTAGATCATCTCTCCCTGTTGGTTCTAGAAAATGTGATAATTTGTTTTCTGTCAATGCACAGGTGATAATGCCACATGATCTATCAATCAATTTCTCTTTCTATCATCTATTTCTATATCATCCATATCTATGTAATACACTCATGATGTCATTGATTTCCTTCAAAAATGAAGGATGAACATGAACAAAAGCAACTATCACCTTTTTCTATATCATCTTTATCTTTCTATCATCTATTTCTACATTATCTACATCTCTATATATTTCTGTAAACTATCATTTATATATAACATCTATTTCTGTATTCTATATCTATCATCTGTTTCTCTATCATCTCTCTGTTTTACTCTGTCTCTCTGTCTCTGTCTGTGTCTCCCTTTGGCCAGCTCTGATTTTTTTGATTTCACACAAGTTAATATTTAATCATGATTGCAACCAATGCAAGTATATTATTCTTGGGCATCGTTCTTAGAAATCTTTTAAATTACATAATTTTAAGGAATATATCTTAAATATTCATTCATTTAGTCAGTCAATAAACATTTATTAAGTGCCTATTGCATGGCAGGCACTGTGCTAAGCATTGTGGTTGAAAATTTTAAAAAGATCTAGGGGGAGTTCTCTGATATCCAACCTCCACCATCTCCAATCGGAGGCCATGCTCTGAATGCAGGTTTTGGGCAGTATCCAATACATTCTAGATTCTCAGTTAAACCTCAGAAACACTCTCTTTGGGGGTTAGTTCATCAAAATAATGAGAAGCATTGATACTATTGGATTGGTGAAGTTTATTCAGTTAGTGTCATCATCAGCCTTCTAATTTTCAACAAATACTTATTGAGTACCTAATATGTCTGAAGAATAGTGCCAGGTGTTATAGGGATAGAAAGATGGTGATAAGATATACCCTTAAGGATCTCACAATTGGGTTTCTCTCAAGTCTTTGTGGTACTAGAATGAAATGAACAAAGAAATAGTAGGGCTTTTTCCTCCTATCATGCTGGGTCCATAATTATCTACCATGAAGCAAGTAAAATTGCAACATAAATGACAGATTTAGCTTCTCTTAATCTTCATCAATAAGGATGTTCAAAGAAATAGTGCATTAATTGATTAAGTGAAATGTTGGACTAATTCAGGATTAAACAGCAAACTTTTTTTCTTTTTTGCTTGCAAAAGGCAAAAGCTTTTTTTTGTTGCTTTAAATCTTCTAAAAATATGTTAGTCCACTTTCTTGCAACATGAAAGCTGATTCTCATTATATAAAAGCCCATAGATGTAGAAAGCATGGGACTGAAAAAAATCTGTTATAACATATGTAGAAAGTATATGAGATTGAAAAAAAAAATCTGTAATAATACAGGCTATGCTCTGGAAGTCCTCTCCTCTCCTCTCTTTCCCTCTCTTCACCTTCCCCTGCCCTCCCCCTCTTTTCTCCTTCCTTTCCCCTCCCCTCCCTTCTTCTCTGTCTCATTTTCTCTCTTCTTTTTTTACCTCTCTTCCTCTCTTCTCCTTTTCCTCTAGTCAGTCCCCCCTTTCTTTCCTCTTTTCTAATTTCTCTTTTCCTTTTCCCTGTCTCCCTCCTTCCCTCCCTTTCTTTCTTTCTCTTTCCTCTTTTCCTTATCCTCCAAAAAAACCCAAAAGTAATATCAATTTTTAAAATTGGCCTTTTCTTATAAATCACAGTGAAGAAAAAAATCCTACCATTTAGAGTTCCATTCATTTAGGTTCTAGTTCATTGAGGTTTTGCTATACTTGCTAATTAGTAAACATTCTTTAAGTGCTTGTATCAAGCCAGATGTTGTAGGAGACAGAAAGTGGACAAATTATACAAATAAGGTTTTTTTGGCCTTCTTTTTCTTGGGAAAGTCATTGCTGAGAATTGTGGGTTTTGGAGAATTAGGAATTATGTTTAAAATGGAGCTTGGCACTTTATGTATGTACAGAAGGAAAGACCTGAAGGAATATAGCTGGACTGCATCAAGCAAATCTCTGTTAAGACTTTAACCCTTTTGTCTGATGAGAATCATATTTTGAAACTAAGGACCTAAAGATGTAGTCTTCGATAAGTCTAACAGGATAAAAGGTTAATGTGAGTTACTGGAAACAAAACCAATAACACTAAATCCTTCTCCTCTAGGAAACAAAATGCACTCCACACTGGCCCTGCTCCCACTCCAAACATAATAAATAACATAAAAGACCCAAACAACAAATTTATATATTAAGGGCAGTGATTTCAGTGGTATTCTAGTGGACAATTCTTTAAATATGATATCTTTCTCTACAGATTCTACTGACCTCCCTGATTTCTTTTAAGTCCCAACTAAAATCCCATCTTTTACTGGAAGACTTCCCCAACCCCTCTTAATTCTAGTGCCTTCCCTCTGTTATTTCCTATTTATCATGTATAAAGTTTGCTTTGTATATATTTGTTTGCATGTTGTCTCCCTTGTTAGATTGTAAGTTCTTTGAGGGAAGTGACTGCCTTTTGCCTCTTTTTATATCCCCATTGCTTAGCATAGTACCTGGCATATAGTAGGTGTTTAAAAATTGTTTATTGACTTACTGATTATAGATTTTTTCTTTTTTATTAATTTATTTTTAGTTTCCAACATTCACTTCACAAGATTTTGATTTACCAATTTTCTCCCCATCACTCTCTTCCCTCCACCCCAAGATAGTGCATTCTGAATACCCCTTCCCCCAATCTGCTCTCCCTTCTATCACCCCCTCCTTCTCTTATTCCCTTTTCCTTGTATTTTCCTGTAGGGCAGGATAGATTTCTAAACCCCTTTGCCTGTATATCTTATTTCTTAGTTGTACATGAAAACTGTTTTTCCAAATTCTCTCCTTTCCTCCCTCCCCACCCACCCTCATTGAGAAGGCAAGCGATTCAATATAGGTTATGCATGTGTAGTCATGCAAAACACTTCCATAATAGTCATGTTGTGAAAGACTAACTATATTTCCTCCATCCTATCCCACCGCCTGTTTATTCTATTCTCTCCTTTGACCCTGCTCCTCCTCAAAAGTGTTTGCTTCTGATTACCCCTCCCCCAATCTGCCCTCCCTTCTATCATCCCCCCTCTTTTATCCCCTTCCCCCCTACTTTCCTATAGGGTAAGATAGATGTCCATACCCAACTGAGTGTATATGTTATTCCCTCTTTAAGCCAAATCCAATGAGATTTCCCTCTCACCTCATTTCCTCTCACTTCTCCCCTCTTCCCCTCCACTGTAAAAGCCTTTTTCTTGTCTCTTTTATGTGAGATAAGTTCATTCTGCCTCTCCCTTTCCCCTTCTCCTAGTACAATCCTCTCTCAGCCCTTAATTTTATTTTTTACATATCATCCCTTCATATTCAACTCACCCTGTGCCCTCTGTGTATGTGTATATACATACATGCATGCATATATATATATATATTTTTTCCCCTCCATCTACCCTAATACTTAGGTCTCATGAGTTACAAATATCATCCTTCCTTATAAGAATATAAAGAGTTCAACTTTTAATAAGTCAGTTATGATTTCTCTTCCCATGCTCTTTTCATGCTTCTCTTGAATCTTGTATTTGAAAGTCAAATTTTCTATTCAGTTCTGGTTTTTTCATCAAGAACACTTGAAAGTGCTCTATTTCATTGAAAGTCCATTTTCTCCCTGAAGGATTATACTCAGTTTTTCTGGGTAGGTGATTCTTGGTTTTAATCCTAGCTCCTTTGATCTCTGAAATATCATATTTGAAGCCCTCCAATACCTTAACGTAGAAGCTGCTAAATCTTGTGTTATCCTGACTGTGGCTCCATGATACTTTAATTGTTTCTTTCTGGCTGCTTGCAATATTGCTCCTTGACCTGGGAACTCTAGTATTTGGCTATAAATTATTCCTAAGATTTTTCCTTTTGGGATCTCTTTCAGGAGGTAATCAGTGGATTCTTTCAATTTCTATTTTACCCTCTAGTTCGAGAATGTCAGGAGAGTTTTCCTTGGTTATTTCTTTAAAGAGGATGTCTAGGCTCTTTTTTTTTAATCATAGCTTCCAGGTAGTTTAATACTTTTTAAATTATCTCTCTTGGATCTATTTTCCAGGTCAGTTGTTTTTCCAATGAGATATTTCATATTGTCTTCTATTTTTTCATTCTTTTGGTTTTGTTTTATGTCTTGATTTCTCATAGAGTCATTAGCTTCCATTTGCCCCATTCTAATTTTTAAGGAATTATTTTCTTCAGTGAGCTTTTGGACCTTCTTTTCCATTTAGCCAATTCTGCTTTTTAAGGCATTCTTCTCTTTGTTGGCTTTTTGGACCTCTTTTGCCATTTGGCCTAGTCTATTTTTTTAAGGTGTTATTTTCTTCAGTATTTTTTGGGTTCTCCTTTAGCAAACTGTTGACTCTTTTTCATGATTTTCTTGCATCACTCATTTCTCTTCCCAATTTTTTCTACTTCTCTTACTTGCTTTTCAAAATCTTTTTTGAGTTCTTCCATGGCCTGAGACCAATTCATCTTTTTCTTGGAGGCTTTGGACGTGGGAGCTTTGATTCTATTGTCTTCTTCTGGTTGTGTGTTTTGATCTTCCTTGTCACCAAAGTACAATTCTGTAGTCTGAGATTTTTTCCGCTATTTGCTCATATTCCCAGCCAATCACTTGACTTTTAAACTCTTTGTTAAAGTAGGTCTCTGCTTCCAGTGTGGAGGTTTTTGTGCAGCTGTTTTCAGAGATACTTCTAGAGACCTGTACAACTTCAAGGTGGTATGATCAAAGGAGAGGTGTTACTCCTTTCCTGGCCTGTGCTCTCATCTATGAGTGACCACAAACACTCTGTTCTGCCTTGGAACTGGGAGGAGAGTTCACTCTCCATCATCTCCACAAGCGCTGCCTTGCCAGTGCTCCTCCTGCCCCAGGACTGCCATCCAGGACTATGACCCAGTTCCAAGCAGAGGTAAAGTGAGAGAATCCTGCCTCAGTGCCAGCAAAGATATCTCTGCAATCCCCCTCTGATCAGTCACTGGATCCCTCCACCCTCTGTGGGCTGAGAGCTCTAGAAGTAGCCACTGCTTCTGTGGCCACTGCCCCGGGGCTGTGCAACGACTGGGGCCAGACTGTGCTCCTCTCTCACCCAGGTCCAACAGACCTTTTCCACTGATCTTGTAAGTTGTCTTTGACAACTATGTGGGTTGAAAAGTCTGGAAACTGTCACAGCTCCCTGTGATTCAGTCTCCTGAGACCTGCTCTGGGTTTGCTGTGGCCCAGTCTTTGCCTGCACAGCACATGCTGCATTACGTTCCTTTCCCAGCCTGGAGCAACAGATCTTTCCCTTTGACCATCCAGCCTTGGGATGGAAATTTGTTTTGCTTTGTCTTTTTGTGAGTTCTGCTGCTCTAGAATTTGTTTAGAGGCATTTTTACAAGTATTTGGAGGGGTTTGGGGGAGAGCTCAGCTAAGTCACTGCTTTTACTCTGCCATCTTGGCACCATTCCTATTGATTATAGATTTATTTCCAAGCTTTGCATCATCTTTATATTATATAAAATTGGGTACACTTGGGACAATATAAAGATATTTAGAGCATCCATATTGATCTTATCAGATTAAATGTAAACTTTTCAACTTGTCATATACTTTTTTTTTTGCCATTAACCTTTTTTTTCATTCTAACCTCTTTAGTGATCTTCTCTTGCTATGCTTATTAATTTCCTGTGCATGTCTTCTACTTGCTCCAGGAGTTTATGGAAAGTTGCAGCTTCATAGTGCATACCCCAGGAAGGCCTGGACCCATCTTGGAGCTGATATTGCCTCAGGAAATGAGAGGTGAGAGGTCAAAGTTGTTTGGATCCATATGTGTGCTTGTTATTTATACTGCTTCACTTTAAGGTGTTATTTTAATGCAAAGTTAATTATTAAATGAAATCACCTTCAGGAACATTTATTTATGAAAGATTAGTAAATTAGAATTTGGATGAATTCCTTTAGAGACATGTATTTTAGAGTTATACAATAAAACCGTACCAGTTCAAGGTAAATAGGAGAGTTGTTAGTCTGTCTGAATTAGTGAAAAGTATGAATTACAGACAAATTTAGAGGAAAATTAATTTTATTACTTAGAAAAACAGAGTTACTTGAATTAGGTTATAACTGTTATTTAGTAAATCTTAGAGGGCTTGCTTGAATGAAAATACAAACACTTTATACTTAGCAAATTAATTTTGTGTAAATTGTGCTGCTAAACTAACTTTTTTGGTCTAATTTTCCTTATATGTAAAATGGGAGTACTAGTTGAAAATCATTTATTGTTTAAAGTAGTGTAGACATCCTCCTACAATTTTATTTACAATAAGGGTGTGCTTGCAATTATTTTCTCTCTGATTCTTCCTCCCCCACCCCCATAGATTATACTATAGTGAATTTGGCTTTCACCCTAGTATTAATTAGTGCCAACTCAGAATTCATGTCATTTCCTATAGCAGGGATCTTTCTTATTGAGACTAGTATTTGGTTAGAAAAGTTTTCACTTGAACTTTTGTAAATGTCATGCCTGTACAACCAGAGAAAGGAGAAAAGGACATCCTGGGACAAAATTAATTTCCTTTGATGGTACTATCAATAGAGATGATAAAGTATGGAACAGGGTCAATTTTTTTTTTAGGCAATTGGGGTTAAGTGACATGCCCAGGGTCACACAGCTAGTAATTGTCAAGTGTTTGTTCTCAGGCCAGATTTGAACTCAAGTCCTCCTGACTTCAGGGCCGGTGCTCTATCCACTGCGCCACCTAGCTGCCTCAGGGTCAATCTTTCTTGCAAAGATGATTTTAATTTTGAACATCTTGAGCTAAGGTGCTTGTATAACTTCTAGGTAGCACTATTGGACTGATTACTGTAAATGCAGGACTACAGCTCAAAGGAGATATCAAGGCTGGAGATAGTAGATTTCAATCACTCAATCAACAAACATTTATTAAGTACCTACTGTGTGCATAATATACAATACTAAGCACTGGTCATATAAAAGGAAGCAAAAGACAGTCTCTGACTTCAAGAGGCTTACAATCTAACGAGGGATACAAAATGGAAACAAATATATACAAACAAGCTATATACAGGATAAATAGGACATAATTAACAGAGAGACAATTAAGAGGGACCAAGGAAATTTTTTAGTAAAAAATGAGATTTTAGTTGGAACTTAAAAGACAGTAGAGAGGTTAGTAGGTATAGCAGAGGAGGGATAGTGTTCCAAGCATGGAAGACAGCCAGAGAACATTCCTGGAGCTGAGAAATAGAGTGTCTTGTTCATGGAAACACCAGAAAACCATTGTTACTGGATCAAAGAGTATGTGTTGGGGAGTAAAGTGTGAGAAGATTGGAAAGGTAGGAGGGTTTTAGGTTATAAAGGGCTTTGAATACCAAACCGAGCAGTGTGTATTTACTCCTGGGGACTACAGGAAGCCACTGGAGTTTATGGAGCGGGGTGGTGGTGTTGGTGGCACAATCAGACTTGTGCTTTAGGAAAATCACTTTCGTAGCTGAATGGAAAATGGATTGAAGTGGAGGGGGACTTGAGGCAGGGAGACCCATCAGCAGGCTATTACAATAGTCTAGAGGTAAGGTAATAACGGCCACCAGAATGGTGGCAGTGCCAGAGGAGAAAAAGGAGTTGTTTTTTTTTTTTTTGCAAAGGTGAAATTGATTGGACTTGGCAATAGATTTGATATGGGAGGTGAAAAATAATGAGAGATACAGGATGAATCTTAAGATGTGAGACCATGGGACTGGGAGAAGGTGTTGCCTTCTGTAGTAAATAGGAAAGGTAGAAGGTATGGAGGGTTTAGGAGGAAAGATATTGAACTCCAGTTTAGACCTGGTGATGTCTCCTGGACATCTAGCGTTACGAGTCTGAAAAGCTGTTGGAGATGTGTGATCTGAGGTAAGCAGAAAGATTGGGGCAGGTAAGGCAGATTTAAGAATCATCAGCCCACATCAGTCTCTCCGTGTTTTGAACGATTTTACTAGTTGCTTTTATCAATAACCATTGCACTGCATTTCTGCTTGACTGTTTTGTGTAGGAAGGTGGACTTTGATACTTAGCTATGTTTCTACACTACCAGAGAGCAAGATCTGTGTAAGCGTGTGTGTGTGTGTGTGTGTGCACGCGCGTATTCCCTTAAATGTTTAACATAGGCAATAGTCTGCCAATTAAAAAAAAAAAAAACAACCAAACCCTCCTAAACCACAACAAAAACCCAAAACAAAACTAATAAAAAATTTAGCTAAATGAAAGATTTATGTCAAACTGATTTTTTCATGGAAACCTGAATTTTATAATAACAATAATAATCACAAACATTTATTTAGCAAGAGCTATACAAACATTTGTTATGATGAAGATGATGTGCCAGGCACTGTGTTAAGTGCTTTAAAATTATTATCTTATTTGAGCTTCACAACAACTCTGTAAGGTAGGTGATATTATTATCCCCATTTTATAGATGAAAAAACTGAGGCATACAGATAAAGTGACTTTACCAGAGTAATACAACTAGTATGTATATGGGGCCAGATTTGAGCATCAATTCCTCCTGACTCCAGGCCCAGCTCTCTATTCACTGTGCCACCTACCTGCCCATTCAGGTTTTAGGACCTTCTGAATATCTCTAGATATATTGGTATAAGAATGTTACTACTACTTCTTGTCTATAAGGTTGTTGCTCCATTTTGAATGGAGTCATGAGGAGGGCCAATTAGTGGAGTCTTAAGCAATCTGAGACCATACATTCTCTAAGGTCACGGACTGTGTCATTTAACATTTGTATTTTTCCTCAGCATTTAGCACAATGCTCTTTACATTGTAGGTGAGCACTAAAGATTTCTGTTGATGTTATTGGGCCTTCAATAAATTGGAATGAGATTAGCAAATGATTGGCTACAGAAGAAAAATACCAAATCTCTTGTAAAGTCACAAGTCACTCATCCCATAACCATCTTTTCTTGAGAGAAAAAAAAAATGTCCCAGGCCCAGAATAGCCTAAAGCCTGGGGTTATATGCAGCCATTATCATTTAGCTTTAGCAGAATTTTAGTTCAGTTAACAAGACAGTTTAAAGTGTGTGTGTTTATATATGTGTTTCTCATACATGGCTTTAAAAGATGTTAAAGGTGATTTAGGAAGCATACAATTATGCTCCCTTAACAGTTTGGAGATATGTTTTCCTTCAGCTGTGTAATGTATTAACAGCAAAAGAATGGAAAATGTGCTGATATTTTGTTTATCTTTTTAAAAAGTTATCTTTCAGGAGAGTTCCACTGTGATTATTCATATTTTCCTCCCTTTCTTTTCCCATCTGGTTCCCATTTTTGGTTACAATTATGGTCCCAAACAACTCTTCGTCTTTCTGGTTTTATATTCAGAACATTTGAGGTCTCTTCTCTCCCCTGTATGATGCTCATTACCATCAATCAGAGATACTGCATGCATCAAGGACTGGAACAATCATTAAGCCAGGACTCTTTGAATCGGTGGAGGTGGAAACTGGGGGAGTGAGAGTAGAATCAGGTGATATGGATATTATGCTATGGGAGTAAAGCAAAGGCTAATATTTGGATGGCATCCACCCATTCATCCATTTCTTTAAGAAACATTTATAATGATGATGATGATGATGATGTATTTATTCATCACCTACTATGTGTGAGGTCCCATAGTTTATAGGCAAACTTTAGGATTATAAAGATGAAAAATGATATGTTCCTTGGCTTCAAGGATCTTTCAATCTACTAAGGGATAGGACATGTACATAAATGAATATATTTTAAACAGTATATATGACTTAAAATATAGACATTAGTAAGTGCATAGGAGCAGTCTTAATACTTAATCACAGAAGTGACTGGTAATTTAACAGGCAGAACTGGAAATGGATTCCCTAGCTATTTGTGACAAATTATAAGTAAGGATTTGATTGTGTGAAGACCAGAGAGAATGAGTTAAGTGGTTGGAATGACTAGGTGAAAGCTGAGGGTTTATAGGAGGGCTGGGGCAGAGGAGATGGGGTGTTGTTCAGGTGTCTATCTTTAGGAGGGTATATTGCAGTTCTTCAGGTAGGGATCCCCAGAAGGTTCAGATCACCCTCCCTACCATCACCCTAGTGATTGAGCGGCAAGGCAGTATAGGAAAAGGTGTGCCTAGCCTATGTGAGCAGATGAAATTAAGAATGCACTACGTTCTTTTTATGACTGCCTATAGAATGTAAGCTTCACGATGGTAGACACTGTTTCATTTCTTTGTATGCCCAGTACCTAGAACCATTGTGTCTGGCTAACAAGAGGTGCCTAAAAATGCCTATTGATGGATAGATTGATTAGTGGAATGATTAATAATGTCTATCCTCAAATTGTTTTTGGCCCTTAGCCTTGACTTCCTCCCCTTTTGCACTGTGGATAATAGGATCATAGTCTTTAGAGATGGAAGGGACCTTCGAGTTCATCAAATTCATTTTCTGTATTTTAAAGCTAAAAAAGCTGAGTCTCAAGGAGTTGAAGCAACTCACCCAAAGTCACAGGAAATGATAGCAGAGGCAGGATTTAATCCCAGGTTCTCTGACTCCAAATTCAGTGCTTTTCCCACACATCTTTTACCTGATATTGTGGTTATTTGTGTACAGGTTTTATCTTCCTTCTCCATTTGGAATGTACCCCAAGACATTCACCATCAAAGAGGAAGGAATCAGTAGGTAACTCAAAGGGAAACTTAAGGGAAAGTTACATTCTTAATGTAACTTTCTTTTACATTTGGAATTCACTTTTCAATGTCTTCAG